CCCAACTCCCCAATCAGCCCTCCTCTGAGCCTGACCAGGGGCTGCACCTAGGGATTGGGCCTGCCCTCTGTCACCTGGGAGCAGGCCTAAGCCAGCAGGGCGTTATCTCCTGAAGGGTCCCAGACTGCGAGAGGGCACAGGCCAGGCTGAAGGGCCCCCCTTCCCCCCGAGTGCACAAATTTTTGTGCACCGGGCCTCTAGTATCTAATAAAAGAGAAATACGCAAATTGACCATAACCCCAACACCCTTCCCATTGGCTAATCAGCAGGTATGCAAATTAACTGCCAACCAAGATGGCGGCAGGCAGCCAGGCAGCTGAAGCGAACAGGAGGCTTGCTTGCTCCAGTGAAGGAGGAAGCCAAGGTTCCCCGCTTGCCGCTGCTGGCCTCTGAGCTGAAGTCTAAGCAACTATGTTGCAATTATAGAACCTAAACAAACTCCAGAAACCTGCTTTCAGCCAGCCGGGCTTCAGCTAGCAGGATCGCAACAGTGTTTCAATTATAGAACCGAAACAAACCCAGTACCTGCTTTCAGCAGCTGAGGTCTCAGAGCTGGAGCCGAGCCTCATACATAAAGCTGGCTCTCAGCTCTAGTGACAGCCATAGAAGGTAAATAAATCCCAGAATAAAAAAGAAAAAAAGAAAAAAGGAGAGGTTGGGAGCTTCAGTCACCCGCCAGCCTGAAAACGGCCCTCAGCCCCTCATCCAGGCTGGCCAGGCACCCCAGTGGGGACCCCCACCCTGAAGCAACAAGATGGTGGCTAATTTGCATACTGAAGCCGGGCGGCAGCGGGCAAGGCTGTCTGTGGTCCAGGACCCAGATCTGTGACCCTGCCAGGCAGGCAGCAGTGCTTGAGGCTGTCCGCACTCTGGGACCTGGATCTGTGACCCTGCTGGGCGGAGGGCAGTGCTTGAGGCTGTCCATGGTCTTGGGACCCAGATCCATGTCCTGGCAGGCGGGGGGCAGCGCGGGAGGCTATCCACGGGACCAAGACCTGGATCTGTGACCCTGCCGCGCGGGGGGCAGCGCTTGAGGGTGTCTGTAGTCCCGGGACATGGATCCGTGACCCTTCCCAGTGGGGTGGCAGCTCGCACAGGGGCGGATCGGCTGGGGTTGGGCAGGGCAGGACGCCTGCCTTCCACCCAGCCCCAGTCACTCTGGGCAGGTGAGCAGTGCAGAGAGCCTCTGGACAGGGGAGGCAGGCCGGCGGAGGGCAGCCTGTACTCCCCACATGGTGGTGGTGACAGCTGTGAGCACGCCAAGCGGAGCCTGCAGGCTGAGCTGAAGTAGTGCCTGCAGGCCATCACCGCCCAGGAGTGGCTACGCAAGATTCACCTCCTGGCTCAGAAGGTGCAGGATCGCAGGGACAGCCACCATGGTGGGCCAGACTGACGTCCTCCTGGCCGCACCACAGGGTTTTGCGGATCTGCAAAGCCAGATGATTCCAGTGTGCACATCCACCCCTGGTATGTGAACATCCCCCAGCACACTGTCACCCTCCCGTGCCTGCAACAGTTGCAAACCAAGGCATGCACAAGTTCCCCCCGCCTCTCCAACACACTTCCATCAAACCAGCATGCCTAACACCGCCCCCCCCCCCCAGGATGTGCACACATCCCCTCTGATGCACTCACGTCCTTTGGAGAGTGTCTGGGTGTTCTGGGTGCTGAGGGTGGGTGCCTGTGAGATGACAGTGAGAGGGCGGAGTGGTGATGCCCTGTTCCCACGGAGGCCAGTGCAGCTACGAGATCACCTCTGGGGGGTTAATGCAGGTGCTGAGGCGGGAGCAGATGCAGACAGACACACCTGGTTGGCACGGGCGGCCCTCACTGAGGTGCCTTCGGTCAGCATTCAAGATCAAAAACCCAGAGGTGGAGAGGAATTCTGTCCTCTCAGTGAAACAGTGGGATAGTCGGGGCGACTGTAGAGGAGGAATGTGCACTTTGGGTGCCAGCACCCATGAGCGAAGACTGCCCTGACTGAGCCTTGCTTGCTTGGGGCCTAGCGCAGTCCTGCCGGGCAGCAGGTGACAGGACGTGCTTTTCCGAATTAATGAGAGAAAACATTGATTCTCCTGCTGCCCACGAAGGTGGAAAGTGAAGTGGGGAGACATGTGGGGAGTGAGCGAGATTCCCTGTCTGGGGGTTCCAAATCAGCTGTTGGTTTCTTTCATCGCTGACTAGAGATATACAGGGTGTCCCCCCAAAATGTATACACACTTTGAATACCTACTAATTCCAATGGTTTTAAGCATAAGAAAGAAACAACAATGGAGCTGTTATCTGTTAAAAGTGTGGGCACAAACAGGTAGTTGGACATTCCCTGAGGGGTCTCAGATTGAAGAGGGTGAAGGCCAGACTGAGGGGCCCCTTTCTCCCCACTACCCCAGTGCATGAATTTCATGCACCAGGCTACTAGTGTCTACACTAATAAAAGAGAAAAATGGTAATTGGCGTACGGTGCTACCCTTTTCATTGGCTAATCAGGGCTATATGCAAATTAACTGCCAACTAAGATGGCAGTTAACTGCCAACAAAGATGGCGGCTAATTTGCATATGTAGGCACAATGCAGGGAGGTGGAAGGGAAAGCAGGAAGAAGCCCCCTGCCCCCCAGCCATGATCGGAGAATCAGGCGTCTTTGCCGCCCTGGCCAGTGATAGCAGGAAGTAGGGGTGGAGCCAGCGATGGGAGCTGGGCACGGTCGAAGCTGGCAGTCCGGGGAGCTAGGGGTCCCTTGCCTGGGCCTAAAGCGGAGCCCACGATCGCGGGGCCGCTGCCACTGCGGGTCCCCGCTGCCCGGGCCGGATGCCTAGGCCAGAGGCGTTAGGCCTGGGCAGGGGCGGAGCCTGCAACCGCAGGGAGCTGGGGGTCCCCTGCCCAGGCCTAATGCTTCGGCCAGAGGCGTTAGGCCTGGGCAGGGGCAGAGCGGGAGATCGCGGGGAGTTGAGAGTCCCCTGCCCAGGCCTAATGCCTTGGCCAGAGGCGTTAGGCCTGGGCAGGGGCAGAGCCTGCAACCGTGGGGAGCTGGGGGTCCCCTGCCCAGGCCTAATGCCTCAGCCAGAGGTTTTAGGCCTGGGCAGGGGCAGAGCCTGCAACTGCGGGGAACCAGGGATCCCCTGCCCACGCCTGACACCTCTGCCGGAGGCCTCAGGCCTGGTCAAGGGGCCGATCTGGTGATTGGTGATCGGAGGGTGATGAGGGTCAACTCCTCTGGCCGAGGCATCAGGCCTGGGCGGGGGGCTGGGGGTCCCCTGCCCAGGCCTGATGCCTGGGCCAGAGGCATCAGGCCTGGGTGGGGGGCAGAGCCAGGGATTGGGGGGATATGATGGTCCCCTTTCCCAGGCCTGAAGCCTGGGTCAGAGGCTTCAGGCTTGGGCGGGGGGTGGAGCAAGCGATCAGAGGGAGATGGGGGTCCCCTGCCCAGGCATGATTCCTGGGCCAGAGGCCTCAGGCCTGGGCGGGGGTCAGAGCCAGTGATCGGGGGGAGATGGGGGTCCCCTGTCCAAGCCTGACACCTCTGGAGGAGGCGTCAGGCCTGGGCAAGGGGCCGATCAGGCCATCGGAGGGTGATGGGGGTCTACGCCTCTGGCCGAGGCATCAGGCCTGGGCAAGGGGCAGAGCCAGCAATCGGAGGGGTCTGGGGGTCCCCTGCCCAGGCCTGACGCCTGGGCCAGGGGCATCAGGCCTGGGCTGGGGGCAGAACCAGTGATGGGGGGAAATGAGGGTCCCCTGCCCAGGCCTGACGCCTCTGTCAGAGGCGTCAGGCCTGGGCAAGAGGCCGATCCTGCGATTGGAGGGTGATGGGGGTCAACGCCTGAGGGCTTCCAGTATGTGAGAGGGGGCAGGCTGGGCTGAGGGACACTCCCCCCCCCCCCCGACCCAGTGCACGAATTTCGTGCACCGGGCCCCTAGTGTATATATATATATAATCTCACAGAATACTACTTAGCCATAAGAAAAGATGAATTACTGCATTTGTGACATGAGAATATCATGCTAAGTGAAATAAGCCAGCCAGAACAAGTTAAGAACCATATGATTTCATTCGTATGTGGGATCTAAAATGGAGAAACAAAAAAACCAAAAAAAAAAAAAAAATCATAGACACAGACAAAAGTATGGTGGTTTCTAGAGGGAAAGAGGGAGAGTAGGTAGTGAAAGGTAAAGGGTGTCAAATGTATGGTTATGAAAAATGATTTGAGATTGGGTGATGGGCACAAAATGCAATATACAGATTATGTATCATAGAATTATACACTTGAAATTTATATAGTCTTATTAACCAATATTGCCCCTAAAATTTTAATAAAAAATGGACATCAACTACTACTATGCCTTTCAGATCTTCTCTTTTTTATGTTTTGAGTTTTATTCCCTATGTGTTTGTGACATTAGATGTGAAATAGAAATAACATATACATTTAGAAAGAACTTCTCCTTTCATAATTTTACTTTTTCTTCTCCATTATCATTTATTTCCTTTGGGGTAATGTGCCTTTTGAAACACAGAATTAAGGAACAGACCACACTATGAAAAAAGCTTGTCTATGAATATTATATTTCAGCCACAATCAAGTTGTTTTTGCTGTTTGAAGAGCAAAGCTTCCACTGTAATATAAAAACCACTGTAAACATATTCTTGATATTTTTGTCAACATGTCAATAAAAAAGTAAAAAGTATGAAACAACAATAAAGCTTATAATTAACTTCCATCCATAAATGTATATAACAGAGCAAAATCTCTTACAGTTATACATACACATATGCATAAATATAAGTATTTCTTAAAACAATTTGTAATATAAACACTTAAATTTTTACTTAAAACCCATTTTAGTTAAATTTGATCCCAGTAATAAGCATGTAGAAAAGTAGACCCCTTTTATCTTATTTTTAAAAAAAATATATTTTATTGATTTTTTAGAGAGAGGAAGGGAGAGGGATAGAGACTTAGAAACATCGATGAGAGAGAAACATCGATCAGCTGCCTCCTGTACACCTCCCACTGAGGATGTGCCCGCAACCAAGGTACATGCCCTTGACCAGAATCAAACCTGGGACCCCTCAGTCCACAGGCCGACACTCTATCCACTGAGCCAAACCTTTTATTTTCTCTAGATAGATTTTTAATTACTTCTGTTCAAATATAGGAATGCCAGTTGTCTGGTTTTTAAGAAACCAGAAGGTCTGTGTGTCATGTAGGGAGAAAATTCCCTATAAGAACCTCAAAAAATAACAAAAACTCCATCATTCTCTTTTGATGGCCTGAGTAAGCAGCCGAAGAACATTGGTCACAAACTGGCCTTTGGCCAGGTTTATCTTCTTCAGTTTCCAGACTGTATATTGCATGGACTACTAAGTTGTTCTAGCACTCGCACATTCTCTTTTGTGGAATAAATAGTCCTACTTTGCCTACCCAGTCAATACTACAAAGGAAGAAGGTGGTAGTACATTTTATTTAGCTGATGGGTCATTTTAGTTCTCATTTGATGGCATACATGCAAAGAGATATGTTAGTATGATTGAGAATAATTTGTTAACTTTATATCTTAAAAGGCTAGTTCTTATCCTTTGTAAAGCTTTTAATTGAGGCAGAAAACCTTGATCTTGGACCCATTTTTTGAGTGCCAATACAGAAATATTTTTCACCTTTTGGCAAATGATCAAATACATAATTTAGTTAATAGTTGTGGACTATAACTTTAACACTTAAAATACTTTTTGGACCTCTAATAATGTGGATGCATAAATGAGAGAGATTTATAGGCACACATTTAATTACTTGTAAATTATTAACGGAAATTGTTATTTTTATTGTAAATTGTTTGAGAAAATACTTGTTTGAGAAACTCTTTTTCATTGATTTGCATTAGAAATGGGTTTACACTATTAACATATTTCATCTCCTTTTTCTGGCAATGAGACCTTCTTCTTGGGTACGTAAGTCATGCTGGACAAAGAATGCTTTCTAAATGTAGACAACCTTCTCCTAAAGTTCCCCCCTGAAAAGAAATACAGGAGAGGGTCAAAACAACAATTTGATGCAGCCAGAGACAAGGTTATGACCACTGACTTTTGCATTCTAAGGACAGAATCACAAGGCTTAGTTTCATTGTGTAAAAAGTGAAGGTGGATGGTACGTTGAATATGATATGGCATGAAGCAGATCAAAAAGGCAGCTGTTACAATTATAATCATTCCTATAGCCTTTTTACGACTTGGTAGATTTTTCTTCATTGAATTTTTTAGTAAGGTCAAAATGATCATTGTGTAACAGACGATTATGATAATAAAAGGAATTATAAATCCAAAAAACAATGACACATAATGCAAGACCAAAACATGATTTTTAGCTTGATCATCCTGTGGAGGCTCAAAGCACTTGGTATTGTTTTTCGCATCTTTTAAAGGCGTGGCTAGTAAAAATGGAGAACTGGTCAAAATCACAAAAATCCAAATGCTAACACATACAAATCTGGCTTTTTTCTGTGTAACCAAATTAATGTTTTGGACTGGGAAAACAATTGCAATGCACCGGAAAAAGCTCATGGCTGTCATAAAGAAGATGCTACAATAGAGATTGACATACAAGGCATAGGTGCTGAGGCGGCACAAAAAGTCACCAAAGAACCAAATGCCTTTGTGAACATAATAGACCACACGGAGAGGCAGTGTACACACACACAATAGATCTGATACTGCTAAATTAATCATGTATATTTGGAAGGCTGACTTCTCATGATATGTTTTTATGAGAACATAGAGCACAAAGCCATTGCCAAAGAAGCCCACAACGGAGATCATAGAATACAAGGTGGAATACACTTGATTGCGGAAGTCATCAATAGTGTCATTGCAAATAATATTACTGGCAGAAGATACTGTCAGATTTCCAGCTCCATCCATGTTTCTCTAGGAATGTCTGCTTGTTGCCTACAATATATATATAAAAAATCTTGTCAATTTTTATCAGACCATAAAAAACAGGAGGTAGTAAGCTTTCACTTTATAGTGTCACTATGTATGCATTTTGACCATGGCAGGAAGCAAGGCTAGTAGGACAATGAGGAGGAATTCAACTGCACCTAGTACCCAGGAGAAGCACTCTTTCTTACCTCCTTTTCCACCTGTGTTTGCCTGATGGACTTCCGCTTAATCTTCAAGAACTATCTAAAACGGCTCCGCTTTATTTTGTCTTATTACTCTAGTACTATTCTGTAAATCTTCCTTTAAAGTGAGTTTGGTTTTTCAATTAGAGAAAAGCTCTAAAGAGAGTGTTATCATAAATATGCATCTACTTATCTAGTTATCTATCAATTTATTTATCATTTTTCATATATTTACTGGAAAAGCACTGAATTCTCTTGGAGAATAAAATGTGGGTGAAAATTCGTGGTTCCTCTAAGAAGAGGGTTTCCTAGGTAACATCTGCTGGGTGATGCTTCAACCTAGGGAAAATAATTGGATTTTCTATTAATGTAACTAATTCCCCTGAGGAATAATCTTATTCTAGAATATGGTTGACTCTATTTAGAACCACGACAGAACACCAAGGCTAGAGACATTTTAGAAGCCATCTAATTATTTTAATGAGGAAAACACATTGAGGTGAAATGCATTTCTAAAATCTGTACCATAAGTTTGGGCTCTGAGGAAAGACTAACTCATTGGAATATACTTTCTGGCTGAATATGTTGTACCTGTTCATCCTCGTTCTCTTCCTAGACTCACACTCACAGCCTTAACTGTTGAAAAATACATGTTCATTTCTTTCATAACAAGAAGTTGTTACTTGGTCAACTTAGGTCAACTATATCACGGCAGTTAATCAGGGCAAACTAATCAGATAAAAATGGGGATAAGGTAGTGATTTCTTTAATGTTCCTCTACATTATTTTCCTTTATTCTTTATAAGAAGGTGGGAGCAATTCATCAGTAAATAATGGTAGATAATTTTTGATTGAAGTCTAATTTGTTGGCCTTTTACACAGCTCTTGCTCAATGGTAAGAGGGGAGTTGGGGTTTGTAAGGTGAGAGGGCTGCTTGAGCATGAAATAAATGCCAGCAATAGAAGAAACTGATCTCGTCTCTGCATAGGAACACAGAAACATACAGCTCTTATAGTGGTTGTAGGTGGGATATAACTCCCCATGCTTACTACTGTTAGCAATTATATCTGCTGCAAAGATATACGTCATCCATCCATCCAAGTTCTATTTTTTCCTTTCATTAAAAAATGTCATTTTTTTAACCAAGAACTGTTGGTATATGATAAAAAAATTGAAGATGAATCTGAGGCTGTATATCTTAAAATGATAGAGAAAAATTAGTTCACTGTTACTAACCTCTGCATTATTCCTCAGTTTGCTTTCCAAGTACCTGTCTCTTTCACCATTTGTCCTCTGAACTCAGGTATAATTGTGGAAGAAAGGGAAATTGCCTAAACCTAATCTAGTGGTTTGTTTGTTAGCCTTGTATTGAGTTTTCCCCAAATAGAGCAGTGTTATGTTGTGAATCACTAGATGGTGCTGTTGAAAATTTTTTATATAGCTTTTGTTTTAAGAAGTACACTTGAAGGGTATTAGGTAATTACCATCTGTCCTTCCACTATCGACCCTCACTATACCCTGCCACAAACTTTTTCTGGAATAATTTTTCATACATGATAGCTTCCAATTATGTTATGTTCTTGCTCTAAAACCTTCAATGGCTCCTGAGAACCTTCCGAATAAAATCCAGATTCCTTGGCCAGATTAAAGCTTCCTATAGTCTAGTTGCAATGAAACTTTCCTAGCTTCTTTCTTTTTCTTTTCTTTTTTTTTTTTGCTTTCATTCTGAGTTTATTTAACATTTCATCCAGCTGAACTGGAACAGTACATTGATCCCCACACTGGCAAGACACTGCGCTAACACTGAACAGCCACCGCCCGCAGCACACGCACAGCCACTCCCGCCTGTGGGTCCAGCGCCTTTCCCAGCCATTGCACTTCCTGGGAGCGGTCCTCCAGGTCGCTGGGAGGTGACCAAGGGCATCCTGTCCGTTTGTTCCTTTTTATAAACCACGGTTACGCTGACAGGAGATAAAGCGCCAGGAGCCGGAGCTCCTACGATAATGTTAAGTAGACACAGCTCCACAGTTGCTAGCCCTTTCATAATGGCGCCTAAAAATGGCAGTTTATCCACCTTCTGCCCAGCCATTGTTTTTTCAGTAAAGGTGAGGATGCTGGGGGGGCTCCCAGTGAGGGGGTCAGCATTCTGGGTAGCCGGGCGTGGGAGGGCCTCCCGGGCTGGGCTCTCTGTAGGAGCACCCTGGAAGCACCTCAGGGAGACCGCCTTGAATTTCAGGCTTTGACCACTCCTTCAAGAGCAGCATCTATGGCAACAAAACACACGCAAGGCCGGCATGTGTTGTGGGAACCTCTTTTGCTTCAAAGGGTTTAAGACGGAAAAGTGGAGAACATTTTGGAGGCATAAAGGACCTAGCTTCTTTCTTACTTCTCCCCTTTGCAGATCCTAAAATTCAATGGAAAAACTATTTAGCTATATACCAGGAATATTTTTCACATGTTTTCCTACCTGCCTATCTTTTTTCATGAATTTCTTCTTCTTGAAATGCTCTTTCCTCCATCCATGTGCAAAAACTACTCATCCTTCAGCACAAATTACATCTTAACCAAACCTTTTCTCAACCTCTATCCAAAGTAATTTCTATATTTTTCCATGCTGGGGTACTTTTAATCTATCTTGCAGATCAATGATTTGCATGCATGTGTTATCTTTCCTCACAGACTTTCTGGATGATATATAAGAAGGCACCACACATAGGGCTAACACATATGTACCTTGCCCATAAGTGCTCAGTAAATGTTAATTGAGTGAATGAGTAAATTAATGATGGAACAAGTTTGTCATTTGAAAGGATTATTTATCATCCAGATTCACTTAGTGTTACATTTTCATTCTAGTAATTAAAAATCTTTCCAGCCTCAGAGTCTAAAGTGGCTCTGTTAAGTAAAGTTGCTTCCTAAATTATTAAGGAAGGCACTAAATCATAAAGCTAACTATAAGATTAAAAAACACCCATATCTTGATACAGAGTAATTATTTGTCTGTTAAATAGTATAAATACATTTGAAACTCCCATATCTTTGGATAAAATATGCCAAGTAAATCTGATAAAGAAATTAATAGAAACAGACAAAGAAACAGATGATCTTTATTTCCTTTAAGAAACTTTCCAGCCCTTACAGACCAAAATAAGCTTTCCTAGTAATTTCTATATTTAGGTTCAATTGTTTATTTTTAATTAATCAAGTCAACTGACTTAAAGTAGGCCACTAAAAAAAAAAGACTGTAAAATTCTCAAACTAATAATAAATCCTAAAGGGGTAGGGATCATTTAGTCCAAGCCACTCATTATACAGGAAGGCTTTGCTTGCCTTCAACAACGTTTAATTCATATTTATAGAATTACTGTGATTCCCCATTAATGAGACCCATGCTATGTGGATACTGAGATGCCTAATATTCCATTTCTGCCTTCAAGAAGCTCATAGTATTGTGGGGGAAAGGAGTGATGGCTCAGAGTGTAGAGAGATTACAATGCAGTATGAAAGAGTTATAGCACAAAACAAATGGTTATTAGTTGATTAATATAAACAAACAATAAACATAAATGAACTTAATTTTAGTGCAAATGATGAAGGAAGTTACTTTATGAAGATACTTTGCAAGTTAAAGAAACAAGAGTCATTTAGAAAATGGAACCATACCTCTTTGCAGCACTGCAGTATTCTTCAAAAATGTTCCTGGTTGTGATCAGTGCCTCTTATGATATAGTATCAGATGAAGCCTAAACTGGAATCATAACACTGAAAGGGAAGTTAAAGACATTAGAAGCAGTCCAGAAGGGTCATGGGAGCTGAGCAGCCTTAAACACAGTTCCAGGGTGTGTGATGGGACATCAAAACTCTGACAGATTTAGGACGTGTTATTGAATTCCATGCCTCATTCTTTTCTCTCCATTCATTTTTATATCCCCAGGGACAAAACTTGGAATAGAAACCAGGGCTGATTATTGATGTTTGCTTCTGTGTACACGTAACTTCTGTTTCTAAAGATGAACAGAGTATCATAAGTACTCTTTTTGCTATGAAGCCATGGCATTTACCATATTTTCTCTTCTAAACAGTTTGTTACAAAGTTCAAAGGGGACATAATTTAGGAGTTCATATCCAAGGATCTAGTTTTTTTAGGAATAAGAGTTAGAACAAAAAAAATCAAGTATATTTGTCTGGGATGCCCAAGGGACAATTTTCCCTAAAGGAAAGATGGCTTGGACTTTGGAGTGTTCTCCCTAAAAACTCATAATAGCAGTTATTGTTTATATCATTAATTTGGCACATATTATATACCTTTGGAGATAAACTGTTTTATAATTTGTATAGTTAACTTTTAATGAGTGTATGTCTCTTCTCTTCAATTAAACTATATCATAAAATCTAACTGTATAACAAAACTTAAGAAATGAGCAAATAAGGGTTTTCTTGGAACAGCAGCAACTCGAACACTTTTATTTTAAACTAGAGGCCTGGTGCACAAACTTCGTGCATCAGGGCGGGTCCCCTCAGCCCAGCCTGCATCCTCTCAAATCGGGGACTCCTTGGGGGATGTCTGACTGCTGGTTTAGCCTGATCCTGGGGATTGGGCCTAAACTGGCAGTCAGACATCCCTCTCACAATCTGGGACCACTGGCTCTTAATTGCTCACCTGCCTGCCTGATCACCCCTAACTGCCCTGCCTATCAGCCTGATCACCCCTCACTGCCTCTGCCTGCTGGCCTGATTGCCTCTAACGGCTCCCCCCCACCAGCCTGGCCACCCCTTACTGCCCACCCTACTGGCTTGGTTTCCCCCAACTATCCCCCCCCCCCCTACGAGCCTGGTCACCCCACACAGCCTGCTGTTCAGTCATTTGGTCATCCCTCACTAACCCACCTGCTGGCCTGGTTACCCCCAACTGCCCCCCTGCAGGCCTGGTAGCCCCTAACTGCCCCCCTCGCTGGCCTGGTTGCCCCTTACTGCCCCTTCTGCTGGCCTGGTCGCTCCCAACTGCCCCCCTGCCAGCCTGGTTGCTCCCAACTGCCCCCTCTGCTGGCCTGGTTGCACCTAACTTCCCCCCTACCCCCTGCTGGCCTGGTTGCCCCTAACTGCCTCCCCCCCCGCTGGCCTGGTCACCCCCATCTCCCCCCCTTGCCAGCCTGGTCTCCCCACACAGCCTGCTGTTCAGTTGTCTGGTCGTCCCTCCCTAACCCCCCTGCTGGCCTGGTCGTCCCCAGCTGTTCCCCCTGCTGGCCTGGTCGCCCCTTACTGCCCCCCCTGCTGGTCTGGTTCCCCCAAACTCCCCCCTCCCCCCACCAGCCTGGTCACTCCACACAGCCTGCTGTTCAGTCATTTGGTTGTCCCTCACTAACCCCCCTGAAGGCTTTGTCACCCAATGCAGCCTGCTGTTCAGTCGTTACTGTGATGGCGACCTCTACAATTTGCATATTCCTCTATTATTAGTATAGATTTGTGTTACCCGATGGCAACTTTCATCCTTGTTTGCAAGGACCCCAGAGACTTGGCACTTTTCATTTATCTGTGGTTTAAGTGACAACAAAATAAACATCTTTCTCCAGTTTATTCTTTGCAAGTATAAACAGGTTGGAACTTTCCAAAGGAACTCTACTGAAAAAAAGGAAATCAAGAGGAAAATAAAGGAAATGCAAAAATATAAAAGAGATAAGTTATAAAACTAGGGACCTGAATCTACTGCTACAATATTGCTGTTTGAGTCTACTCTGTCCTTCAATAATCATTGTTAAGATCTTCAATTTCTTTTCCCTCTCTGAATTAACATAGATAACCAATAGCTAGCAGTCTGGGTGAAGTATAAGTTACAGGTGGGAAATAAAGTTGGCTTTAATATTTTGTTATTCAGTCAGTAATATATATATTTTGTTTAACTTGTCCTAGGTCTCTGTAATCAATACAGATATACTAACTGAATGTTGAATGAAAAAAATTCTTTCTAGTCATGAAATTATGTGATTCCACTCACTTTATATATGGGGAAAATTAACTTTTGACATTTTCACAATTTTGTGTTTAGACAAAACTTTTATTTCTCCCTAGTGTGGAAAGAGAAAGAGGACCCTATGAAAAGTTTAATATTACCAGGCTAATATACTAGTTAACAATTTCCATGGTAGCTGTGCAATTACAATTTGGCACAATCACTACATGCACATGAGCAAATGTGGCATTGTCTGGGTAACAGTGTAATGTTTCCTCAAGTTTGGGATCCTGATGTGTCTTCTATGCTTCCTTTAGTAATTTTGAGTTTTGCACCTAGCAAGCACTTAATACTTTACTTACTTTCCTCCTTTCCCTTTTCAGTTTCCTTGAGGACTCTTGTCTCTGACAACAGTTTTCTCACAATTTGATTTCAATTATTTAATTCAGGAGTTGTTCAGATATTTTATTTGGAGATTATATATATATATTCTCCTTGGTTTTTACCCTGTCTTTTTGTTGCTCAAGAGTTAACAAATGCCACTCTAAATCATTTATATGCAAATATGTATGCACCCCTATGTTAACTGCAGCATTATTCCCAGTGACCAAGACTTGGAAACAGCCAAAGTGCCCTGTGATAGAGGAGTGGATAAAGAAGATGTAGTACATATACACAATGGAATACTACTCAGCCATAAGAAAGGATGAAATAATGTCATTTACCACAACATGGGTGGACCTTGAGAACATTATGCTAAGTGAAGTAAGTCAGACAGAAAAAGCTAAGAAAGATATGGTTTCACTCATATATGTATATGTAAAAGCCTAAGCGACCATTACGACTGGATGACTGGACAACCGGCCAGTAGCTATGATGCGTACTGGCCACCAGAGAGCAAATGCTCAACATAGGAACTGCCCCGTGGTGGTCACTGCACTCCCACAGCCAACCTCCCGTGGCTGGCCAACCTCCTGTGGTCCCTCCCCCTGGCCGGCTGGTCCTGATCAGCCCTGATCACAGGCCAGGCGGAAGGACCACACATGTACACGAATTCATGCACCAGGCCTCTAGTGTGGAATATAAAACTGAAACTTATGAACACAAACAGCAGTGTGGTGGTTGCCAGAGGGAGGGGAGTGGGGGGAGAGAAGGGTCCTAATAGGAAGTGACAGGAGAAGATTTGACTTTGGGTGGTGGGCACATGGTCCTATATACAGATTTTGTAACTTAGTAATCCACACATGAAACCTATATGTTCATGTTGACTAATGTCACCCCACTAAGATTTAATAAAAAAATAGTAAAAAAATAAAGAGCTTGGGGAAAAAAGAGTTAACAAATGCCTATAATCAAGTCCCAACTCTATATTTCAAGCAACCCTCTCCACAAACTAGCCCTAGCCTCCTATCCAACCTTCTGTTTCACAGAGAAAAGTGTTAATGGAAGAGGCCAAATAAGTTTTGCTACCTGGAGAAAGAAGAAATCCACTAGTAAGTACTAAAGAGAGTTTAGGGCTCTCAGAAAGAGAGCTTTGAAACAATGTGTGGCATCATTTTGGATGTGCAGTTATTTCTAAGATATGCTGTAGAATGAAAGTGAGAGCTTAATTATTGGAATAGTGACTCTTAGGAAAACTTGGTTTAGGGACATGGTTACCCTGATATTCTAGTTTAGAATTCTGATAGTCTTGACATGCATATCCCTTGAGTGAAATATAGTGACTCCCTAAAGTTGGCTAATATATTTGTTCTTACAGTCTTATAGTACCAAAGTTTAACTTTTTATTTTATCCTGTCCTCATTTAAAGGTATGCATGGTTTCCACCCAATATATCCCCGACCTTGGGCCCACTTCCAGCCTTGCCCCACTTGAATCATCTTTTGAATAATGAAACATCTATTTTGACCTTGTTTGTCCAATCTAAACAAATCATAAACATTTTGTTCCTTTAAAAGTAAGATCTTGGGAAGTAGTCAAGTATACTTGATGTATCCAATAACCTTAATCAGGGGAGATGCCAGGACCAAGTTTGATCAGCAGAGTGAGAGGTGGGAATTTGTTTGCTTTCTAACATTTGAACCCTAAAATGATCTTAGGAGGTGACCTTAATTTTGGAAGTTGGTTCCCAGAAGACTGTGATAAGATTTCTGAAAGTGGACAAATAAGAACAGCTGTATTAGTCTAAATTTGGGGACTTTACCTTTCTGATTGAACTTTGTTGGAGTAAAACAAATTATAAATACTTGGGAAAAATGACTCACTTATGTGTGTTATTAAAGGTACAAGAAACCAAAGTATTCTACCTTAAAGGAGAATACTTTCTCTAAGGGTCAAGAAGATAAGTGAAAATTTACACTGAGCCTACTTTGTTCTCTAAAATATAAGAAGATTATGGAAAAATTTAAAATTAGGAAAAAAGCATGTTGTTTTTGTTTTTTTTTCTTCTTTTTTGTTTTTATTTATTTTTCTTTTTTAAAGCATTTTTTTAAAGGCCAGTTTGTTGGTTTTACAAAATGTAACTTTTTGAAAGGTAGACATAATGTTGAGGGGGTGGTAGAAAATCTCTTCTGTTCACATTATGGGAAAGCAAGAGGGCTAAAGATGTTTAAAACACACAAAATTTCACAGTGAGATCATAAACTTAAAAAAAATATTTTTAAACTACAGTTTACATTCAGTGTTATTTTCTATTAGTTTCAGGTGTATACATAGTAGTTAGACAATCATGTACTTTACAAAGATTTCCCCTGATATTTCCAGTACCCACCTGGCACCTTACATCATTGCAATATAATTGACTATACTAGTGGCC